AAATGGAAAGGAAGTTCCTAAAATTTCTTATAAGGTTTATTTCCAAATATCTTCCTAAAATTTCCTATAAGATTTATTTCCAAATATGTTGCTAAAATTTCTTATATAAGGGAGCTTTGAGTCATGTTGATTAAACAAAGAAACAAAAGAGTGAGAGCTTAGAGAGAGTGTTGAGAATGGATGATATCGAAGAAGTATTCATGAAATGGAATTACATCGACAAGAAGCCTTATGATATATGCCACATGATTGAAGAGGCTATCCTAGTTGCTGGAATCAAATATCCTCATCAATTTGACAAGCGCAAAAACAGGATAATCAGGATGATATCCAACCCCAGTACCTTCGATGATTATGATGATGATGATGATGAAGATGACGACACTAGTACTCTTGAAGAAGACGATGATACCACTACTACTCTTGAGGAAGAAGACAGTGTCGTTCATGATGAAGATGAAGTGACCAATGCTGAGGAAGAAACACAGCAGAGCCAGAAGCAGATTACAAAGCCACTCAAAATTAGAATAACTTACTCCAAAACTGTTCTAGTTGCTCCTCTGGAAAACCACAACTATTGCAATGCAATTACTCAAGAGTTGAAGATAACACCCGAGACACATGACTTGGATGGTCATAAAGAAGGAACACAACAACAGTCTCATAATACTACTACTATGGGATCAACAAAGAGGATGTCCACCAAGCATGTACAAGTTGCTCCTCCTCGTGTAAAACTTCTTTCTGATTTTTCTTTCGAGAAGCATCTTGATGGACACAAACAACTAAAGAAACAGAGTCACAAAGGTTTCAACAAGATGGAGACTGACCGGATTCAACACAAAAGAATTGATAGTGACACAGAAAAGAAGACCCCTACCCAGCACAGGACGGGATCAACAGCAAGAAAGCAGTGCACCAGTGGTTTAACCAAGACCATGCCGGCGTCGTTGAAGAAGATGAATGTCGCCACCGAGCGAGTACAAGCCCTTCCTCATCAACAGAGCAACTGCAGTGCAATTACAAGACCAATACAGAGCTCTGCACCAATGCAAAAAGAAACACAAAGCATCAATGAAATAAAGAAATTTGAATCAAGCAAGAGGAAATTTGAGGAAAGGTTAGCAGAGCAAAAGACAGCCAAGAAAAGGATCATAATGGTGGACTACCGCGATATGCCTAAAACTGCTAATGACCCTCCTGCTACTAGACGCTGCTGGAATAGGAATAGGAAGAGGTCTTGATATTATGATGATTCAATATATGTTGTAATAACTACATGATTACTATTTTTTATTTGAAGTAATATAGAATTTCATTATATGTTTTTATCATCGTAATCCAACTCTTAGTTTATTCATACTTTCCTTACACTAATGTATGCAATCAGGATGCTATTTATCTCTCTAGTCTCAATAACTGTTAACCTACATAACCCTGACATGATCTTAGCTGAGTCTTAGTTCTTTTTTATGATTCTGAAATCATTATTGTATAGTATCATCTTAGATGAACTCTTGATTTAGTGTACACGTTCCCTTACACTGGTACTTATGCAATCAGGATGGAATTTGAGTCTTTGGTTTCGCCATCAGCTAACCTACCTTAGTTTAAAAGTTCCAATCTTAAAAATACAGAAAGCTACTCAATTGACAAATCTTTTAAATACATACCAGACATTCAGAAGATATTGATATCAACACATAGAAGTCTAGGTAAGGTTGAGAATCTTGAAGATTTGTAACACTACTTATCCCAATAGATTAATTTGACTGGTTCCATCACATGACACATTCAGTAGCTAAAGTATTAATAATGAGAACCAACTGCTGATGAAACCATTTGCAATCTTTGCATAAGCTGAGTACTTCAAGTCGAGACTGAAACTTAAAAAACAACAACTCTCCCAGGTAACACAGACCAACAACCTGAGGTAAGACAAGAAACTGGCTTATTGAACACCTTAAAGAACAATAGAGAGAAAAGGCAGTGTCCTCGTTTCAATGTAACTTAATTTTTCTGAGTATCACAGTCAGTCTAAGAAGGCCCACAAGGGTAGTCAAGTATACTTCAGCATATATAATGACTTTTGGCCAAAAAAAATATGCAATTAGGAAGCTTGTACAAGGTCTAGTTTAGCACAAAAAGTCGTTAACCATTGATGTTGAGTGAAATACTGAAAAAAATACACTAGCATTTAGATAACAAAGATAATATTCAGTTTCAGACAACTGATAAAGGGAACACTCACACAGCTTAGCTTGTAAAATACTAATGCCACAAAGCAAGGACTTTGTGAGTCAATGTTGGATTTAAAAGTACCTCAAATCTTGGCAGAAAGTAATGCAATTCCATTTTCCTACTCCTACATAAACAAAAGTCTACTTGGTTATCTGGATATTTTCGACCATAACAAATGTCAAGTAGTTCTTTGTGATAGTATTCTAGGATCTAGATACATTTATTCCTCCCCAAAATACACGGCAACAGCAAGTAGTGAATAAGTACCATAAATGGAAATTCTTCATACCCAAAACTCACCAAGGTAAAAGTAAGAATGATTCAAGAAAGATACCTAAATTCTTCAATTCTAGATAGAGTAGTTTTATGTATGTGCAACCAACTTGTCATCACAAAACAATGCTTCAATCTTCAATTGTTGGCAAATTTATATATACAGTTAAGACCTTCAATTTTGAGTAATACAAACTAGCTAGTGGCTTCACTAATTAGATCTCAAATGTTAATAAACAAGCGGTTTGCATATACTTCTATGAAACGAGTCATCAGATGTACACAAGTAAAATCCATTCTTCCACAAATCAATTCAAATTGGCATTCTGATCAATTAGATCATTGTACTCAAGTTCAGGCCAGGAATCATTTCTCTATCAAAAGTTGAATAACCAAGCTTAAGATAACCAAGTCACAAAGTAACAAGCAAAAGTATCACAACTCAACAAAGTGAAATTACATAGCAAGAAAGTCATTTCAGATATCTTTTAGATGACTTGCCAAAAAAAAAAAGCAGGTCTACTTCAACATGCTTCTCTCACAGTAAATACATCATAATATCATGAAGCCATAGAAGTTTTAAGCCAAGATAAGCATTGCATGTAATTAGCCCAAAGCAGTCTAGCATTCAGAATCCATACAAATTAAAAACTTACCTAAATTTGTTGGAGATGAGATGCCTCACAATAGACCAATCTCAGCTTAAACACAACAGCAGCAGCACCACAACCCATTTTGCCAGAAGCTAAAATCAACAGAAAATTTATTAAATGACTACCATGTCAAATGAAGCATAACTTCACACACTAGCAACTGATAACAATTAATCTCTGTCAAAAAATGATAAATGAGCATCTTAATAAACTAAACTTCCAGCAAAACAAATTTCAGCACCATAGCTACTACAATAAATTCAACAAGCTAAGGTTCAATCTTCAATAAATGGCAAATAACAAACAGATGTAGTAACAAGATCTTTGATAGAACAAAACAAAGTACAAATTTCATTACTCAGATTCTTGAATTCTAGTAAACCACCAGTTTACACATACTACAACTGAAAACATCTATTGGATGTACACTACTAAGCCTAGGATTCCAACTTCCACCAACAGATCTAAGCAAAACCATTGAACACAATGTCTTTAAACCCTAAAAAGCTAATTCTTAAGCCCTTTCTCCTCGAATCCTCCTAGCAAGCTGAATATCCTTAGGCATAATCGTAACCCTTTTGGCATGAATTGCACATAGATTAGTATCTTCAAAGAGACCAACAAGGTAAGCCTCAGCAGCCTCTTGTAGAGCAGCAACAGCACTACTCTGAAACCTCAGATCTGTCTTGAAATCCTGAGCAATTTCCCTCACCAACCTCTGAAATGGAAGCTTCCTAATCAACAACTCTGTAGACTTCTGATACTTCCTGATTTCCCTCAAAGCCACAGTTCCTGGGCGGAAACGGTGAGGCTTCTTCACTCCTCCAGTTGCCGGAGCTGACTTTCTTGCAGCCTTGGTAGCTAGCTGCTTCCTTGGTGCCTTACCACCTGTGGATTTGCGAGCTGTTTGCTTAGTACGGGCCATTTGAAACTGAATGTATACAGAGAAAAAATAGAGTTCTGAAATGATGAATTTGAGAAATGGGTAATGGAGGTATTTATACTGAGAGATAGAGGGCGGGAAGTTTGAAAATTTTGGAAAAGAGTTTGAAATCTTTTTGGCGCCGTTGATTGAGATTTTGAGTTAAACGGTGGAGATTAGAGAAGAGCTGATTGCTCGAATAGCGATCCAAGTGCTACCATAGTAGCAAATGTTTATTTGCCACGTGGATTCAGCGCAAAAGTTACTCCATTGTTATTTTCTTTTACTTTTATTTTTCTCAAGGGATAATAGTAGGACTTGCATGTGTAATTAATAATTTCACAATAATTTTAACATGTTTCTATGTCTTATTCTTATCTTATTAACCGTAAATCAATAATTTAAACTAATAATTGGACTTAGATTTAAAAGGATAAGACACATAAATTATAGTACTAATAATATTGTTTTCTTGATGCTTAAGAGCTTGTTAAAGAGATAACTGAACATATTAAAGCAAAAAACAAGTTAGACCATAAAGTTCTAAGTTTAATTTGAAGTTATTTTTAAATTTTTTAAAATAGTTTATAATATGCCTTTTCAACTCTTTTTTATTTTTAAAAATTATGTTTAAATTCATTCAATTATAAATATTATTTCAATTATTGGTTGCAAAATATATAACGTCAAACGCTTTTATAAATTTCACAAAGAAAAAATATTTAAAATTTATGATCAAACACCTTGTTAGCTCCCATCTAACCATAGATTATGAATTTAAGTTAAAATTTAGAAATTTAAAATTATATTTAGATATTTTTTTTTGAAGTTTTATAAGTGAAAATTTAAAAATATTTAGCGATCAAACTTTTTTTTAAAAAAAATATTACTACTTCGACAAAATTTATGGCCAAAACGCCAGCTTGAAAAAACGACGACGTTCATACAGGTGGTTCCTGTGTGTTGTGTCACTCATCGCCACGACTACAATTTTGATACCAAAAACAGGTGATTTCTGTGTGTGAAAGAGAAACCCAAAAATGGGGAAGATGACATTCAGAGTAGTGATAGCGATTTTAGTAGTATTGTTACTCTACTACGTCGGCCGGCCTCTCTACTGGAAAATCTCCGCCACCGCTCACGATATCCGCCACAACAAACAAACCGTTTCCGGAGGTCTCTCATCTCAACTTTCTCTTTCACTACAATCACTTGTTCAATCTGATACTCTAATCGTTGGGAAAAAGAAGAAAAATCTGATTCTATTATCTTAACATTAATTACTCAATCCTAATTTTCATACCTATAGAAAACAGAATTCGTTTAGATATTTGTTCACATTTTGTCTTGGAATCAAAGATGGATCTAGGATTTAAAGGCTTGTTAATTCTTGTAAGAGTATTTTCTATATTCATGTATTGGAGATGTAGCTGTTGATGCTCATTTGGCTCTATTTCGAATTGGATTTTCTACATTCTAATTTGTATCGTATAATTGTTTGTAGGCCATGTATAATTGCTTCCTATGAGTTCTAGTTTTTTAGTTTGATCTCTCGGTTTTGTTTTCCTTGTAGCTGCTCGTATACTGATGCTCATTTGCCTCTTGCTTCAAATTGGAGTTTCTAAATTGTATCATATAATTGTTAGTGTAGGCCACATATAATTGTTTCCTATGAATTCTAGTTTTTTTGTTTGATCTCTCGAATTTCTTTTCCTTGTAGCTGCTCGTACACTGATGCTCATTTTCCTCTGCTTCAAATTGGAGTTTCTAAGTTGTATCATATAATTGTGTGTGTTGGCCACATATAATTGCTTCCTATGAATTCTAGTTTTTTTGTTTGATCTCTCGGTGTTGTTTCTCTTGTAGCTGTTCGTACACTGATGCTCATTTGCCTCTGCTCCGAATTTGAGTTTCTACATTGTATCTCTTGATTTTGTTTTCCTTCTAGTTGCATCATATGCTGATGCTCATTTGCCTCTGCTTCTAATTAGAGTTTGTTTTCTTTGTAGGACTTTCTGAATGTTCTTCCTATCAATTGTGTCTCTGTTGATGCAATGCATGCCTTGTTTTTCTTTTAAATTTTCTGTTGAAGTGTTATAATTCATGCTTTTAGCTAAGCATGATTAAGTGAGTGGTCACAACATTGTAATTTTGAGGTTTGATACATTGTTATATTGTTTTGGTGTAGGATTTTCACAAATTGTTCAGGCAGCTCAGAATTCAGTGGGCTGGTTCCACGATGAGTCCGATTCAGGAGTGCTCGACGTTGGAATCGCGGCAGCAAGGAGGATTCTTCTTCATAAGGTTTTGTAAAGCATTGTACATTTGAAATGTTAAATGTTACTTTCATGTGTTGAGACTGTCGCTAGTGATTAATGTAGATCTTCGAATAAACGTGTTATAGTTGTGGAGACTTTCAAACTTTTGAAGTGTTGGCAATTGTTGCTACACCTTGTACTAATTTCAGACCGTATCAGAATATCAAACAATCAAATTGTCTATGTATTTCTCTTGATCCTACTTAAATACTTTGATCCCACTTACTAGATCTCTCATTTTTTCTTTACCTTTCCGTAAAAAATAGAGAAGAAAAGAAGAAAAATCTCTAGTTTGCTAATTCCTGTCTTTGTGTTAATTGAACAAGCTTGTACATAAAGGTAACCGCTAGTTACAGATCATCATCCTTTTGACACGAATTATATCTCATGCTAATTTGATTTGTTCTTCCAAGGGTCACACACGAAATCTAGGGAAAAAATAATTTGTCTGGGAGGAATGTTACATTTTAGCATTGACATTGAGAATTTATTGTGCTGTTAAATTTAAGAAGGGATTACAAAGTTTTAGTTGGTGATTAGTGATAGAAGATATCCAAGCTCAAGTTGTTCTTATTCAAGGATCTTCACTTTTGAGAGTAAATGTCGAATTTAGGTCCAGCAGTTTACTAGCCTAAAGGATATTTTTTAGATGCAACAATTGGATTTTTCTTTTGAAGGTATGTTAAGTAAGAAATTCATTGAAAGAACATACACCAGTTACTTTTATTTGCATGTTTAAATTGCTAGTTTCTCTCGCTACTCTGTAAATAGCGTGATTGTTACCAAAGGTTTTGTGAAGTGGTGAGTATTCCGTCGTCCTTAACCAACGGTCTCGAGTTTGAGGTGTAGGATTAGGGTGTGTTTGGTAAGGAGCACTACACCCCCCCCCCCCAAAAAATAAAA